AGCAAAACCTTAAGCAAATGTATTGAAAATAACATTTAATTCATAAGGAAACCGTAAGAAAATTTTTACGTGAAAAAACCTCTTCATATGTACTTAAACTTCAAAAAAAAAAAAAAAAAAAATAGGGTTGCGATTCATTTAATCAATCTCATAAGTAAAATAAATGAGTCGGGATCACTAACTAATTGATCTAATACTAATAGAAAAGAGACTGATATAATAAAAAGAACTATTTTTTGTATACATATGTATATTTTCCCCTTTTCATTGCTCTACTAGCACTTTATCAATCAATCGGACTGTAGATCATATGATCATATAGATTTTTCCTTCAACACAATATATGCTGTCGAAAGGATCTTGAAAACCCACCAAAGCACGAAAGCGAAGATCTTTCAAAAAGGATTCTCATTTGAAGAGTGCATAACCGAATGGATAAGCATAAGCTGACACTAACCAGTCAATTAAGATCCAATTTGGGATTTTCCTTGAGGTACCGAAGGATTAAATTGAATATACGATTCACTAAATACAGCAAAAAAAAAAAAAAAATTCTGTTAGTTCAACTGTTTTTTTTCTTTTGGGTAGCTATTAATTCAAATGTTGTACACATGGGATAGAGAAATAGGAAAAAATAATAATAATAAAGGTTTCACACAGTATTTTATAATGAAAAATCAATCCGATTTATTTTTTACCATGACTGAATGAGAAATGGATCAACTTCATGGAATGGAGAAAAAAATGGACATAATTCATTTAATTTGATTCTACCTTCTTGCCATAACAAATATAACCCAACTTTTTGACAGTTACTGCAAAGTTTTTGAGACCTGTAGGTTAGTGAATATATACGTCAACATCTTCAGATTTTAAAAACTAACAGCGTCGCTCGGGGTGTTTGTCTAAGTTTATAAGCAAACTAGCTATAATTCTAAAATTAAAATGATTTATTTTTATAACTTTTTTGAGTTTAGTTGAGCTTATAAGCAAAAAAAAAAAAAAAAAAAAAAAAAAAATAGGTTGGGAATGAGATACTTTTTTTTTTTTTTTTCTTATAAGCACTCTGCTTATAAACTAGTTTGACCAAGTATATTACCACATTATCCTTGTTTAATTTTAAAATTTCATATTATATCCTTGTTTAATGTAGTACCATTTTTAGTCATTTTATAATAAAATGTACTTATAAGCCACATTTTATCAAACACGTCAACTACTTATCAGTCACTTATAAGTACTTTAACCAAACACATAATTGCTTAAAATTTTAAATGCTTATAATAAGTACTTGTTGATTATAAGCTAATTTTCATAAGCTCAGACAAACACCCATTTTGATAACCGAAATAATTTATCAAAAAGTGATGTTAAATATCCAAAGCGAACTATTTTTTATAAACTTATATAGCAACTCTATGTGTTTGACATCATTTTTTTTCTAATTTGTTAAATTTATCTCTAATTTAAAATTCTCTCATCACATTAAAACATAACAGTTTGTATAAGTGAATTTATATGAGAAGTTTGTATATATAGTATTTTTTATTTTTTTATAAAAGTAAAGAAAACATTAATCTTTCCCATTGAGATTTTATCAAATTAAAGTTATATTAATCTTTTTTTTCTAAAAAAAAAAAAAATTAAATAGTAAACAACTCTGCTTGCTCTTAATACTAGATTGTCATGGTCAAAATTCAATGAATGATTCAAATCGAATTATAACCTAATTATTTTTTTTAATTATATCACGTCATTGTCATTAATTAAAGGATAAATTTGTGAAATAGTGTAACATAAACATTCCAAATTTATTAAAACTAGGAAAAGATAATAATAATTATTAAGTAGATTATTAATTTATAACTATATAAATTATTAATTTTTATATCTATTAAAAAAGAGTGTAAGTTGCAGCATAACATTTTTTATTAGTAGAGAGAATTGGCTAAGTAATTAATTAGGTAGAGTGACGAAAGACAGAAAAGTAAGTATATATAAAATGACATTGAGGTCAGGTCATAAAATAAAAAATCACAGACAAAAATGACATTGAGACCACGTCATAAAATAAAAAAATCACAGACAAAAATGATTTATGTGGTTTATTATATGAACTAAATTAGGAGAAAGAGGGAGGACATAAAGTTAATATTATAATTAATTATGTGATCATACTATAATGTAATGTTATAATGAATTAAGTAATTATATTATAAATATTTAATGTAATATTATAGTTAATTAAATTTATAATCATTTAATTAAGTAATCATTTGTTTATAATGTAATGTTATAATTAATTAAGTAATTATACTATAAATCTATAATATAATGTTATAATTAATTAAATTTATAATTATTTAATTAAATAATGTACTAAATTACTAATGTAATGTTATAAACTTATAATTAATTAAGTAATCACTTAACTATAATGTAATGTTATAATTGATTAAGTAATCATTTAACTAGTATTTTATTAATGTTTATTAATTTATCATATATAATTAATTAATTATTAATTTATACTTAAAACTTGATAATTGAAGTAAATAATTAAATATTATATTATTATTTAATCAAATATACTATTTCATTAAAAATAATTCTTTTAATAACATTAAAACACTTTTAATTGGTCCTAATCCAATTATACACTTAATTAATCAAAACTTTAATATTAATTTATTAAAGCTTTTTATATGGTGTAGTTTATATATAATAAGTATTATTGTATATTTATTTAATTAGGTTATTGTAAAAATTTAACTTTTTCCATTTTTTTATATGTAAAATTACATAGACCCCCCATTCTTCACAAATATTTCATTTTAGCCTAGATTCCAAAATAGGTTCCAAATCGGGTACCCAATGTAGGTTCCAAGCCAGGTACCCACTGTAGTTCTTTTTTCCAAGTTCCGGTTTCGATTTCAAAAAAATGGAATCGGAACTTACGTACACAGTGTTGGTTCCAGGCAGGTTCCGGTTCTATCCGCTACCCGTGCTCACCCCTACTGTAGTGTCAGGCTACCACAATTAGAGAAAATTAAACAATATAAGGGTATGGTTGTCATTTTACATTCTTAAGAAAAATAATGAAATTAAAGAAAGAAACATTTTAATTTTAAATTATTAATATAGTTAAAAAAAAAAAAAGGAAAAAGGACAGTAAAATTTTATATGATAATTTTTGGTTTTGTTTTTGAAGGTATGGATTTTTATGTTAAATCTTTAATTTTAGTTATGAAATTTTTTTAATTGTTTATAAATTATAGAGTAATATTATACTAACAACTTTCTTTCATAAATTTTTTCTTACAACACATGACAACTTGCAATTAATTAGTGGGACTCATACGGGACTTATTGTGAACTGATCAATTGCGAGCTGCCATGTCAAGATTATGAGAGAAAGTTTATGAGAGAGGATTGTTGGTTTAGTATTATTCTAAATTATATTTCATTGTAATTTTATTATACAAATCTCTAAATTTTTATTTTTCTATTCTATTTTTTTCTTCGTAATAACTAAGAAGACAAATGGGGGTATAATGGACGTTTTAATTATAATCCCCTAATTGTAGCAATCTGATAGGGACTATACAAACTTTTTCAGATTTTGTTGGACCAAAATGATGCTTTCTCCAAACCTCAGGGATGAAAATGTTATTAACACTATAAAGAGGAAAAGGAAAAAATAGGAGAGAAGAATTCGAAAGAAAGAGAGAGAGAGAATGGATATTATTAATTAGGATACAAACTTTTTATAACATAATGTTACAAAGTAAGGAACAGAAATTTGGAGAAAAGATATTACAACGTAAAGGCAAATTTCTCTCTCTTTTACTCTTACATTCGTTCTTTTGTAAAGAGTAAAGTGGTTAAGTAAAGTTTGGTTCACTAACCACAGTTCTTACTTAAACTATTTAACTGAATACTTCAATACATAAGTTACAAAATTTTCAATTAAGGGATGCTATCAGTGATTTGTCGTTAACATTAACAGAAAGTGATAATTTTTCTAATTGAATTTAGATCTTAAATTTTTTTTTTGCACGGTCGACCTAATTACGACTATTAGATTAAAATGTTATGTAGATTAAAAATATCATTTTATATATGGTTTTTGCTATATCATGTATTAATAATTGGGGTATATTTCAAACTTTATCAAAAAGAGATCTCCTTACCCTCTTCTGTGACTTGCTGTCTCTATTTTATAAACTTGATTTATATAATTTTTTCAAGAACACCGGGAACAAAAAAATTAGTTATTTTTCCTAATCAAATAGAGATAAGATCTCCACTTTTCTTGAGATTTCTTTTGATAATCCCCCTTCTTTACTTAGTAATTCTGAGTTCAAAATTGGAGTTGCTGCCAAATTCTGCAACATTTGGAAAACATAAAACAATTACCCTGGACCATACAAGCGAAATTATTTTTACATAAATGGCCGCCTCTACGTGCTGATTGTGCCGCTAACATAACCCATAAACTCATCCATGACCAAGAGCTTTGGTGCATTTTCTCAGTTTCTTTTCCACCAATGCAAATGGAGCACCTTAAATATTATTTTCATCATCATCAAAAAGCAAATTAACCATGTAGTTCCTTTCCACCAAAGCAAATGAAGACATTCAAGATCAGATTCCTCTGCAGTCTGTTTTCCACCAAAGGGAGAATAAAATTTTCCTCACTATCTTCACCTCTTTTTCAAGAGCCACTGTTGTAACATCAAAATCCATCAAACCTTATCCAAGAGCTCTGCCGCATTTGCCTCCAAAGTTTCTTTTCTGCTACCTTCAAGATTATTGTCATCATCAAAAAGCAAATTGACTCTCTACTTCCTTTCCACCTAAGCAAATGGAGATCTCCAATGTCAATTTTACATGATTTCTAAGCAAATTTGCTCTCTAGTCTCTATTTTCCATCAAGACATAATAATTTTTTTCTCATCATCTTTATCTCATTTTCAGGAGAACCATCTTGAGCTTCACTATCTTGTGGGAAAAACGAAACTATTTTTTGATTCAATCAAACTACAACCAGGCGCCTTAGAGACATTTCTTTCTTTCATCACGATCCTCACTTTCTCAGCCTCATCAAATCTCCCCGCGGCTGCATACATGTTTGATAAGAGTATGTAATATCCAGCTTTCTCTGGCTGCAACCTTATTAATTTCCTGGCAATGCGTTCTCCAATCACAATATCATTATGAACTCGACACCCACCAAGAATAGCACCAAGCAAAACTGCATCAGGTTCCACCGGCATTTCTTCAATAAACCTTTCAGCCTCCTTCAAAAGCCCCGCCCTTGCTAAGCAATCAACCATACTGGCATAGTGTTTCAAGTCTGCCTTCACATCTAAATCTTCCATCATTTTGAAATACAAACGCGCTCTCTCCACCAAACCACCATGAGCACACGCAGACAGAACACCAAGAAATGTAACACCATTGGGTTTAAACCCTTCCTCAAGCATCCGATGAAAGAGCTCCAAAGCAATATTTACACTTCCACTCAATCCGTACCCCAAAATCAAAGAGCTCCAAGAAATCACATCTTTTTCATCCATATTATCAAAAACTATATTCCCATAACATAATTTCGAACATTTTACATACATATCAATCACAGCATTGCCTAAATTCAATCCCAATCCTAAAGAGAACCTCCTCAAACACCAAGCATGAACACTCTTCCCATGTTTCAACCATCCCGATTGAGTACACGCCAGAAGCAAGCTCACCATAACCACGTCATCGAGCTCAACTTCTGAACCAACCATCTCCCGGAAAACTTGTAAAGCCAAAATGGGTTCCGCATGTTGAGCATACCCAGCCAACATGGCAGTCCAAAGAACCGAATCTTTATCAGGCATTTCATCGAACACTTCTCTCGCGTAAAAAATCCTCCCAAAAGTAACATAGAAAAAGACCAAAGCAGAAGCAACAAACAAACTCCTTTCGAAACCCAATTTGTGACACAACCCATGAACCGAAAGGCCGAGTTTTAGGTCTCCTAAAATGGCACATGCTCTTAAAACAAGCGGGAGAGTGAAGTCATCGGGTCGAACATTTGATTGTTCCCACATATGGTGAAACAATTGAAGGGATTTGTGGGGGAAATTAGAGCGAGAAAACTCGCGGAGAATTATATTCCAAGAGAAGATGTTCCTGTGGGGCATGTGAAAGAAGAGGGAGAGAGAGTGAGAATGGAGTTGGTGGTGTTTAGAGTACATCAAAACGAGCTTGGTAGTTAGGATGACATTGTTGTAAAGAGAGGTACGAAGCAAGCGAGCATGGAGGTGGCGGAGATGTGAAAGGTGAGGGGAAGAATGAAGAAGTGAAAAGTAGTAGGAAATGAGGTTGGATTTGGTTCTATGCATGGATGATACTCGGGGAAGAGATTGAAACACTAATCATCCATGTTGAATTTGTTTTTCTTTGGTCAATAATTGCATGGCTCAACTTATTAGATTATTTGAAATTTCATTTGCCAAGGATATTATTGCATTTTAATTGCTGGTTCAAACCCGGAGGAATTGGCATGGTGGCAAACAATGTTTGTTCATTTTATTACTTCAAATTATCTTGGATCACCTATTACATACCCTTAAGATAATAGGCTTATAAGAAGTTTAATAAATCTTAGAGAGGTTAGTTGAGGTATGTAACACGTAACATCATTATTATTATCTAATTCAATACTTAAATTGTCATCATTTAAAATTTCTTTTGAAAAATACAAAAAAATTGAAAAAGTTTTCAACATATTTATCTAAAAATAATATTTCAAAAACAATTAGAATAGTTATATAAGTGAAGTTGATTCCGAAAACATAGCAATTAGAGAGCTCAAAATGATCAATTTGAAGAGTTGGAATAAGATGTAAAGCAGTTTGAACTCGAAAATTGAGAGATTTGAAGTTGAAGTTTGGACTTTGGAGTATAGAAGAGTGAAAACCTAATTTAAGTTTTTCACTTGTTTACCTTGTATAAAAATATGCATCTATTATTAAAAAAAAAAAAAAATATAAATAAAAATTTACTTGATTCTGGAAAGCAAATGCGCATTAATAGAAAGATATTTTCCAAGATATGTAAGCCAGTACCCTGGAACTACTATCTCAAACAACTAAAAATATATGAAATTTAGATCTCACAACTCATCATAAGTTGCTTTAATTTATATCTTCTACGAGTCCCCATTACCATGCTTGAACCATTAACTATGTTGAACTCTTGTCTTCATCAACTCACATTCCATGAGGCATGAACATTTGATGCCAAAAGCTATACTGTAACATATGAAAATGCATGCAACTATCATTGTAGAATTACAAATGAAATGATGATGGCAATACTACAAAAGGGTAGAAATACATAATCTAATTGGGCTGTTATAAATAATAGTTGTTCTATTCAAAAGCAAGGATACAGATCAGAGGCTAGCTCAGCCAACAAAAGTTGAAAACCAAAGATTCAACACTTATTTCATTAGGCCAATTGGGTTTTGTTGCAAGTACTGCCTCATGAAGTTTCTGTCATTGCTTTCCCTTGAACACTCCCTCTGGTGATCACTGACAGAAATTATAAATTCTTAGCATATGGAGCTCACATAGTAAATCAGTTCTTCACGTTAAAGATTAATAGTTGCGATGCTTTCTGTTTAAACATGAAAACCTGTACTGAAGAAAGAAGAAAGATTGTAGTGGAATGCATAAAACAACCATTAAGTCTGTATATATTAATCGAGTCTTTCGACTGTCTTTGAATACCTTCTTCCTCTCTTCCACGAACAAAAGTCACTTTAAGACAATAAATAGTTGTTGAAATTCGAAACTACAAATAGAAAATTGCTTGCCTATTATAAAGAAAAAGGCACTGAAACATTTATCAGAAATTGGTAAGGAAAGTGAGGTTACGACCTTTAAGAAGTACAGACATAGGTATGCAAGAAATTTCTAGGTTTGTCAAGTTTTTCCAGGATGATACAACGTTCAGAGGCAAAATTGCGTGGTTTCAGTAAGCTCAGATAGAGAAAATGCGACAAGAAAACAAATTCATGACATCTTGAACTTGCCTGCTACATAGGAGATAACCAAAACAAACCTAGTTCGATCCTTCAGTCATCAAGTTACCACTCCATTGATTTTCCATCGAGCAAGCTTGTTCCATAATTGTTCAAATTCTTCCTCTTATGATTCATATTCCATTGTGATTGATGTATAGTTCACTGCCCACACATGAAGATGTAAGAGAATTATTTGTAGGATTACAAATGACAGTAATAATGTTAATTCTAGAAAATGGTTATATAAGAAATGCATGGGCGCCCGAGTCTTTATTTTCTCACACCAAGCAATAGTAATGTGATCATTAGCAGTAAAATTGACTTCAATATTGAACTCTATTTATTGAAATGAAACTGTTTATAATATCTAATTAATTGTAATCCAAAATGGCATTTATTATTGTCAACCTAATAAACAATAAAACTGTCACATCTCACATGATTATCAAATAGAGTTTTAGTTAGGTTTTTAAGTTTCAGATTCTCTTAGTGTTAGGATACGGGATGTACTTAGCAGAAAACAAAAATAATAATACAAGGATCGTTCCCATAGAGCCAAGATCAAGGTATAATTTTACAGTTTATACAAGTAGAAATCTACAGAAAAATTATTCTTGAGTTTAGAAACCATAGCACGTTTGGGGTCCTCCAATTATCTTGAAGTTTTGCTACCGACCCAAATGTAGGATTGAATCAATGTAGTCCACACGAAGACAATCACAAAGAACTAAAGAAGGATTTGTTAGATCCTCTTTAGCTTTAAGATTAAAGAAGAAAAGAAATGTTTTGTTTTCAATCGAAAACAAATCTGCCATGGGAGAGATGTATGGGGCTGTGTCTTTGTTTTTCAAAGAAAATGTAAATAATGATTAACTCTCCCATTTTACAAATAACCTTTCTTTTATATTGAAAACTTAGTTACCCTATTCCCATACGGAATAGACTTGGACTCCAACGCAAACACCCCATGTTATCAAACACTCCCATTAGATATTTATTTTATTTCATCATTATCTCAATTAAAATCAATTAATATATATTTAATCTATATATTAACATTTAACAATAATGATGATTTAATTAAATATATGCGAACACATATTTAAACGTAATTTCACTTATTTAATTTTTCTAATAAATTAAATAAAGGCTACGACCTCAGCAAATTTAATTGCACTGTGAAATTATCAAAATACCCTTTCGCCTAAAAAGACGAAAACGCTATTCTTTCTTCTTGGCTCTTAAATTATCTTCTATGTGTGTGACCTATAGGCTCCTCATCATACCGGTAGTGTATAGTATCGCTATTAACACCAATTAATCGTCTCACTAATACACAGACCAAGATTGACCCCTAGCAAGGCATCATGGCCACCCGATAGATTCGGATTTAGCAAAGTAGCTACCTGTCAACGATATGGTTACCGTACAATTCGATCCTTTCATCATATGTTATCTCGACGAGACGAAGTCATAGAAATAGTGTCAACCTTCGGTTACTCTCGATATTATGTATTCAGTTTCTGGAACAATCACCTGTATTATAATCCAGATAAAGCAACAACTCAATCCCACTATGGCCACAGTTTTAGTATCATTGCCATATACTGAATTGCGCTGTGAGATAACTTCTCCCGTACCCGGGAATGATGAATCCTCTGTCTGTCCACCATAGTCTTGGTACACTCCTTGATGCAGCCAATCACCACTATATTGACAGCTCTGAATAGAATTGCGTTAGGCTAGTATCAAACTGCACCAATCGGTACACAAGGCGCTCCGGTGATCTCAAGTCTTAGGATCACATGCACCACCATTCGTTAGCGGATTTGTTCCATAGACACTAGGGTTACCATCCATATAGAATCCTCTGGTAGGTCAGTCTAGTGAACTTGCTGTGGTATATCCGCCTATAGCAAGCACCCATGTGTTGCACCAGGTTGTCACCAAACAACCTTGACAAGTGAGATCAGTCACTGCCTCTCGACAGGGTCGTTCAACACTATGATAGCCTTACCGTATTATTTGTGCCCTTACTTCAGAATAATACTCAGGCTATAGACGTTTCTAGAATGGCCACCATATGTGCTCGTAGGGTTCTCACCATCAAGATTTGAAACACTTGATACCCTTGTCATGGTTGTACTATTCTAAGGACATATATCAATACATATTGCAATAATAATGATTTACGCGATATAGAATAAAATGCCTTTTATAGATTAATGAACATTATTACAAAAGGACAATTCTACAATAATTGATTGGCTCTAGGGCATCTATTCTAACACTTAGTAGATGTATGGGCCAAAAATTATATTAGACCTTATGAGGTCCAATAACAAGATGACAATGTCACGGTCCAAAGGCCTTAGTCCAATTTCGTTTAGGCCCACGCTTAAACTATCTTGTGAAATGCCTGCTTAATGAGTTGGGCTACTCTACGAGTTAAGTTGGACTGGGTTCGGCCCATTCGCCCACAACGGTTCACAATAAGGATCAGAATCCCAGTCAATTTCCTTTTCTGACGAGATCACAAATCTCACCCAAAGAGGAAAGCCTGAACCGATAAAGGCAAGAAATCCAATCTCCTTCCAAAAGGAGAACTCTCCTAATAAGTAAGACTCAAAATCCTACTAGGATTCGGACCCCTTAGGTTCACTACATAAACAGAGGGAAACCTTTTCATTAGATATTTAGAAATCATCCCAAAGTTCTAGTATTCTCACCCCCAAGCTCTTGGCATATTCAGACGACATCCATAAATTATAAAATCTCCCTCAACCGTAAGTGCACACTCCGCAGGTCCATCAAGATTGTCAGTGGCTCACCTCACAAGATCTTGTCTCTACAAATTTAATTGTTCATAATTTGGCGCCCACCGTGGCGCCCTAGCAATTTTTCGACCTAAAACGACTTGCTTAAGTTGCTTCTCCTCTTCCCTATTCGGTTACCATGACCAATGACACTGATACTTCGGTGCCTGATGTTGCGGCATAGATTGCAGCTCTCACTGCATTGGTAAAGGAAAACAACAACAAACATCAGGCCTTGGAGGCTCAGAGTGTTGCCATCTTTATGGAGAATCAAGCACTCCAAGATAAGGTAACCCAGTTTTACTCTTTAGACTAGTCTCTTAACTAGCATCATGTATCTTTCTTTTGGCATCCCATTCAACCTAGACAACTCTTCCTGACCCCGGATAATGGCGTTTCAGCCAATCACCCTCATGCTGCGGCCCCAACAACAACTATACCAATGGCCGAGCCGACCCAATTCATCACCACTCCACCCATCACCCACTCGGCCTCCAAAACACTTACACAAGCCACCTTACCCCCGGCTGAATGCCACTTTTGCCCACCAAACACATCCCA